CGTGGAGGGACTCTGGGGGTACATGGAGGGACTCGGGGGTACGTGGAGGGACTCTGGGGGTACATGGAGGGACTCTGGGGGTACATGGAGGGACTCGGGGGTACATGGAGGGGACCCAGGTGCGTGGAGGGCTGACTGGGCGGGTGGGGCATGCACATACCCAGGAAAGGTGCAGTCCAGCCCGGGGAGCACGGTGTATTCCCCGAAGGGTGTGAGAGCCACCAGGTCCATGCTGTGGGTGCCGCTCACACAGCACTCCACGTTGAAGAAGCTGTTGAGGATGGCCAGCTTGAGCTTCCTGGTCCCCTCATCCTCCAGCCAGCCAGCTGCGTGCCGACTGATCTCCTTCTTAAGGTACTCCCCGACGCTGGGCACTGGGGCGTCTGCCTGGTGCAGGAACTCCCGCGTCTGGTCTATGAGACCATAGAACAGACCAGCCATCTCCACCACCAGCTCGTGGCTCACACTTACCCCAGAGCTCGTGTAGGTCACAGAGGGCAAGCCCACGTGACCCCCAGTCTCAATCAGCTGGTTCTCCTCTGACAAGTCCTTTTCCTCTAGCAGCTGGTACTTGGCAGCCAGCTGGAAGACGGGGTTGCCCTGGGAGGGCCCGTGGATCCAGTGAGCACCGAGCTCTACCACGCCACCTGGGAGGAGCAGGACAGGCCACCTTGAGGTTCTCTCTCCACAAAAGCCGATCCTGAGCCCTTCTCCTGGACCCCACACAGCCCGGCCCTCCCCAAATAAGCTCTGAACACCAGCCCCAGGGCCAAAGGGTCCTTCCCTCAGACCTGGTTTAAGGGGAGCACTTGCGGAGGGGTGATGGCCTGCACCTGCCTTGGGAGGACACGTGGAGAGCAGGCATGGGGGCAAAAGGGGCGCCTGGGAATGACCCGGAGGCTGGAGGGGGCGCTACCTGTGGGAAACAACGAGGGCGACAGCAGAGACCTAGGTCACCCTCCCAGCAGGGGCAGGCCCTGCCAACGGGGCACCTGAGCTTTGGGGACCATTGAACTTTGGCTGATTAAGTGGGGTGGAGCGGAGATTCACTCCGGGGACCAGGTAAGGCTTCCGGGTCGGTTAGCCCTGGGCGCAGGCCGGACCAGGAGCTGCAGAGCTCGGGCGGCACCCGTTGGGTTCCAGAAACAGGCTCCAGGAAGGGGTTACAGGAGAGGCGGTTACCGAAGCTGCGCTCCGAGCAGATGCGGCCGCCGGCGCGGGCCGTGGCCTCCAGGATCCGTAGCTGCGGGAAGGCCGGGTGGCGGCAGAGCCTCTGCGCCGCCCCCAGCCCCGCGATGCCACCTCCCACCACCAGCACCCGCGGGCCGCGACCCGGGGCCTCCGCGCGGCAGCCACTGGACTCCATAGCGCCGTCCCGAGCAGTCGCCGAGCGTTCGCGCGGCTCTCAAGTGCTGAGAGCGCCAGGGGGGCCGGGGGCGGGGCGCGGGGCGGGGCTGGAGGCGGAGGGGCGGGCCCGGGGGCGGGGCTGGGTGGGGACTCTGGACCGCGGGCTCAGGGCTGGGGCGCAGAGGCCGCAAGGCTCAGGCCGCGAGGCGGAGCAAGGAGCAAGGAGCAAGGGGCGCGGGGTGAGGCCAGGCTGAGGTCAGGCGCGGGCTGAGCACGGGGTTCTGGTCCGCGTTGGTGGCGCAGAAGCGCGGGCCGCGGGCCGGGCGAGGGCGACCTGGCGGCCGCTGTGTGTGTCTCCAGCCCGGTGCAGACGCTGCTGGGCGGCGTGGGCGAGTGTCGCCTCGGAGGGAGGCTGGGGCCGGCGGAAGGCCAGACCCGTGTCTCCTTCCCGAGGAGACGGGAAAGGCGACCAGAGGGGGAGGAGGCGCCTCTGTCCCGCCTCGGAAGAGCGGGTGAGCGCCTCCACCTTGAGCCCGTGGGTGGAAGTCCAGGACGGTGTGACGTCAGGGTGGGACCGGGAGGGCTCAGCACGTCCAAATCGGGACTGTGACAGTCTCTCGGTGACGCCATGCTCTGCGTGTACGTAGTCACGTGTCTTTATACACTCGTGCACTGCACAGAAAGTACAAGGTTCAGGATGAAACGAAGGGTAAGGAAGAACTTAGAGCACTTCTCCGCCCCCACGCTGGTCCCAGAAGACGTTCAGCACACCATCAAGCGTGCGGGCCTCTCCAGAGAATCCCCCGAACTCAGGAAGGTCTCTTCTCTACTGTCGTGCAGGAATTGGAAAGCCCCTGCCCTCTGCTCAAAGGCTTTCCTGTAACAACGTGTTAGAGCCTGTCTTTCCTTCTTAGCCCCGCACTAGATCCTGCCGCCTGCATCCACCGGGAGGCTTCCGTGGGCTTTCTGTGGCCACCTGAGCCCGCGGGCGAGCGTGGCCTGGTAAGGGGCTCTGCCGGCTTCAGCCTCGCACCTGGAAGTTAGCTCCAGTCTGGGCAGGTGGTCTTTCAGTCTGGGTCTCCCATCTCCATCTCCCAAAGGATTCCCTTCTCTCCACCTGTGCTGGCCCTCCCGGACCATCTAGTCTTCTTTTTCCTTGATTCACTCACCTATTTTGGTGATGCTGAGGTGTCTAGGAGATCATTTTTTAAATGATACTGCAAATCTGAAAATGTCTTCGATTTGCCCTCACACATGATCTGTAGTTTGCCTAAGCAGAGAATTCTAGGTTAGAGACTTCTTCCTTCAGACTGTGAAGGCATCATCCCCTCCCTTCTAGGGATGCTGTTAAGAAATTCACAGGCTTTCAGCAGAATCCACTGAGAGAGCCTTCTAACGTGAGTGCGAACCGGGGAAGATAAAATCGGGCCGGGATCGGAGACTCCAGGGTGGGAGGCGATCCCCCTCTACCCTCTATGGGGAGTGAGAGGAGAAAAGGAGAGAGTCCGAAACAGAAAATCCTCCGCTCGGTGCATAGAAAGACCATACTTGCCAAATACCTGCACACCAGGTCCCCTAGCACCAAGTGGTCCTGGGGGGGGCCTGAGCACACAAACTGCTTCTTTGTGCCGCTCCTGGAGGTTGGATTTCAGAGCAGCGGCGCGCCTGCCACCATTGTAGCTCCCGGGCGGCTGGGGCCCCTGAAAGAGCCGCGCTGACACCGGGCATCCGCGCTCCTGGCTGGCTGGAACTCGAGAGGGAAGGCAAAGAGCTAAAAACTGGGAAATTTGCCTGTGAGTTTGTGTTTCGGGTGACGAGCCATAGAGGGACCCGGTTTTCCTCACTCCAGCGGGCTCGGGCTACGCGCACCCGGCAGGCAAGCCCCCGCGCATGCGCGACAACCGGACCCAGAGAAGGAAGCAGCGATTCTGACTCCGCCCCCAGAGCTCGGCAGGGAGCCTGGAATTGCCTGAGGGGGTTGCCTGGGAAGCTGTGTCTAAGGCAACTTCAGCGGGGCGCGCGGACGGGGATTTGGAGATTGGAACTGGCCTGGGTTGAAGTGTGCAACCAACTTCAGCTGCATCCCCGGAACGGGGAGTTGACACGCCCAAAAAAGCGAGTTGCAGCGCGGGGTTCAAGAAGGGACTGGAGCACCCTCACTCTCCTCCCCACAACCGCTGAGGCAGAACCCCCGCCTGAGGCACTGGATCACGCCACACCCATCCCTGCCTGAGAGGTGCCCTCCTCCCTTTTTTTTTTTTCCTCTTTCTTTTTTCCTTTTTTT